CCAAGGATAGAAGAAGATAATCAAGCGCATGTTTCAGGGGGTGTTTGATAGACATTTTTATGAAAAAATGCATTTTAGAATAGTAAATTGATGTGAAATGTGTGTTTGAGAAATAAGGAAAAGTGTTTGATTTACGTGTAATATTATTTTAATAAAGAATGTGTGGTTAAAAAGAAGAGAGAAAAATGCATTTTGAGAAAAATGGCTACCAAACGGGACCTTAGATCCATTATTTTGAAAAAAAAAATAGCTACCAAACGAGTTTCATTCTTTGCCCAAAATATATTTTAAAATAATATTTTGTTAGAGAATATGTAGTTAAAATATAAGAAAAATTTTAGGTTTGCGTATAATATTAATTTTATTAAAGAATGTGGATGAAAATAAGAGAAAAAATGTATTTCCAAAATAATATGGACCAAACAATGGTGATATACTTGTGTTTTTCTTTGTCATCTGTATTCTTTTGTTTTTAGGGTTCCATTCAAATTAGTTTTTAGGGAAAATATATTTTAGGATAGTGATTTTTTGGAGAATGTAATTAAAGAAGAAATTTTTTTTTGAATTTATGTGTAATATTAATATATTGAAGACTGTGTTATTGAAAAGAGAAAAGAAAAAATGCATTAAATTTGGAATGGCTAAGTGAAGGAAAAGGGTACAGTTACTTCCATTTGACGTTGATTATTAAAAATTTTTGAGTCGTTGCATTCCAATCTCACGAACCAAATTCTTGAATGTAGACGTGACAGTGCTTTTGTAAATAAATTAGTCACATTGTCATTTAAGCGAATTTGTTGAACATCAATATTACCAATCTTTTGAAACTCGTCTGTATAGAAGAATTTTGAAAAAATATGCTTTGTTTAGTCTCCTTTAATATAGCCTCATTTGAGTTGTACAATACAAGCTACATTATTTTCATACAAAATTCCTAGATTATCTTTTGTTGAAGTTAATCAATGTGATGTTTGGATGTAATGTGTCAAGTTTCTCAATTGTACACAATCTCGACTTCCCTAATAGATTGAAATAATTTCAAAATTGTTTGAAGATGATGTTATAAAAATTTGTTTTATAGATCTCTGATCCTCTATGAGTAAATACATATATATTTGTGATTTAGCTTTATGTGATAATCTGCATCTATATATTCCACTAAATCAGATCCTGATCTTTGAGAAATAATCACAAATCAATAATACCTTTCAGGTAATGAAAAATATGTTTAAAATCATTCTTATATCTTTGAATTTGTGTAAAATTATATCTTGTAAGGAGATTTATAGAAAAACTATATTTACACAAGTACAATTTGAAAGATTTGTTAAAGCTTCAATTGCATTACGTTATGGTATTTCGGGACTAAGAATATTTTCTTCTTTTCAAGTAGATGAAATTGATCTTTTTTACATCAAGTAATTGAACAGCCATAGGTGATATCAATGGATATATTTTATCCATATAAAATATTTTAATTCTTTTTCTATAAATGAAGATTGCTTAACAAATAATTCTTCTTGTAAATATTCAATCTGTAACCTAAGATAAAATTTGATTCTTATATCAAATTCATTTTTCAAATGATCTGTAGTTTGTTGATTTCTTCAATAGTTTCTACAAAATTTAAATTACCAATGTAAACTGTCACAATTACAAATTTAATATTTGTTTTCTTTAAAAAAAATGAGCAGACATCATTATTTTTATAGTTTTCCTTTCAACAAATATTCGCTAAAATGATTATAGCCCATGTGTCCAAATTGTTTCAATCCATATAATGATATTTATAATTTAAATCAGAACATAATTCTTGGGTATGTGTCATTTGTTTCAGGTACTTTAAATCTTTCGTGTACTTTCATATATAAGTTACTATCAAGTGAACCATATAGATATGTAGTTATTGCATCTGTAAGGCATATATCGAGTCTTTTTAACACAGTCAAACTAATAAAAAATTTAAAAATGATGGTGTTTATTACGGTAGAATATGTTATTTCATAATCAATTCATGATTTTTGCGAGAAACCCTGATTTACGAGTCAGGCTTTATATCTTATAATATCATTCGTTTTATTTATTTTGCTTAAAAAACTCACTTATATCTTATAGGAATTACATTTTTCGGCGTTCTAACTACATGTCTAACACTTATCATTTCTCTAACGAATTCAACTCTGCTTGTATAGTTTCTTTCTATTTTGGTCACTATGTTGACATTCTAATATTACTTCTTTCGAAGTTCTTGGTCGATTTTTCTTTTGCACTTTTCTTTTCGATGATCAAAGTCTTTTGAACCAACTAGTCAATCACTCTTATAATGTATTTGAGATTCATTTTCTACAGTAAATTTCCTACATTGACATCATTTTTTGTTGAAAATTTTTCTATTGGTATATTTGATTTTGTCACTTTTTTTGTGTGTCGACAAATATACCAGGTAATTGATTTACAAAGTGAAATAATTTGTTTCATTTCAACAAATTTTGTATTATTTTTTAAAATGTAGTATTACCCATTCCAAAGTTGAAAAAGTTATTTCATCAAAATAATAATCTGCAATATGTACAGTCAACAAATCACCTGTTAAATGCTCAAGATACTTATGGTGAACCAAAATCAACATAAATTTCAAGTTTTTGTTGAGGATTCATTTTAGTACATTGTGGGGGTGAAATATGGACTTGAACAAAACAACTGAAAATCTATAAGTGGGAAATATTAAGCTTATGGCCAAATGCAAATTGTAAAATTGAATATTGATAATAAGCATTTGGTCTTATGCGAACCAATATGCAGCATGTAAATTATAGCATGACCACAAACAACTTTTGGCAATTTTGTTTTTATAAGTAATGGTCTAACAATAAGTTGTAAACAAAGATAAATGACCTACATAATTCATTTTGTATGTGGACATGTGCAATTCATTCGATAATAATTCCAATAGTACATGTAGTAATCATCGAATGCTTGTGATCTAAATTAACCAACATTATCCATACGAATTATCTTTGATTAAGTAATCGAGAAATTGAGTTCATAGTTTTATAATTTGGACAAGTAATCTAGCATAAACTATATTCCTAGTGAAAAGTAAGCAAAAATGTGATCATCTAATAGAAAAATTAATTAATACCATAAAATAACGAAATGATCAACATAATAGTAAATCTCCATGAATTCTTTTCAAGAAAGTTAGATATTCAACATTAACCTTTATAATTATAGGTCTGATAATTAACTTGAGTAAGCAGCAAATGGATAACTGTTAGGTAAAAAAATCTTTTAGTTCTTTAGCGATTGACCACTAGAGTTGTTATTTTTTGACTCATCATTATAGTTTCAAAATGTCCAAGTTAATTATGCCAAATTGTAGAACTTTTTGAATAAATGAACTTCGAGTTCATGTAGTATTTCATTCAATCATTTTTTATTAATATATAATACATGTCGAAGGGAGTGCTAAGAGTTATTCTTTTATTTGCTTCTAACCACATACAAAAGAAGTTATATAAAAATATTCAATATTATTTTATTGCATTGTCTTAATGTCAGATCCATTATAACGGATATCTTTAAAATTAAGCAAATTTCTTATGAATTTATTATAATAAAGTGTATCGTTAATGTATAATTCTTGTATTATTTTATCTCGAAACTTTTAACATCATTTTTTTCTAATGTTGTATTAACATTATTTTGTGTTAATGTTAAGTTCAAAAAAATACTTTCTTTTTTTTTGAAGAATAATATACATAGTTGCACTATCAACTAAACATGAATCTTTACAATTTATCCTCTAACTAATTCACTTTGATTTTTAGAGACTCGTGCTAATAATGTATTATGAAATAGAGAAAAAAAAAGTTGAGAAGTTAATAAACTTGGGTATATCTTATTAAGAACCGAAACCTCATATTTACATAGAAGAATTAGCACTGCAAGGAATACAATGGTAATAATAACGAGAATTGTAGAGGTATAATTGTCTTTCACTAATAAACATATTATTTACAATATTAACTTTTTTTGGCTGCTTATAGTTTTTTTTTTTCCTTTTGACAAAAAAAAATAAAAATAATAATAACTATGATACAGCCGAATTCTAATTGGAACCGATTTTGGTTCCGATTCTGTTTCGACTTCAAAAATTACATGAAACTAAATAGTTAAATTTACAAAATATCCGAAATTTAATGAATAGTTATATTGCATGAAATATTCCATCCTATCCTACGCCCACCTACCCTCTATGCCAACTACTTTGTCTAGTAATAGTATTAGACATCTTTTAAGCAACATGTTTGTGAAAATTAACATGACAATTCTTAAAAAGTGGTGATTATATGACTTCTATAGTTACTTTAATACTAAAATTTAGGCTATGTTGGATAGTCATTTTTTTTTCAAAATGCATTTTTTTCTATTTTTTTTAACCACACATTCATTATTAAAATAATATTACACGTAAATCAAATTTTTTTCTTATTTCTCAACCACACATTTCACATCACTTTATTATTCAAACATACATTTTTACATAAAAATATTTATCAAACATCTTCTTAAATATAAACAGGTACAAAATATCATCACACTATTGAGTCTTCAACATAAAAATTATAAAGACCTGTATAGTATAAATTAGCATTTGTATCAATACGAATAGAGACAATTTTCAAGATAAGCACCGTTCAACATTCTCTTCATATTGTTACCCGACAAAAAAAAAATGAAAAAAAACACACACACACACGAGACATTCTCTTCGTATAAAGTGTATACCATATGAGTTTTCTTTTTACAATGCACATTTAAGTACTTATTCTTTAAAATTTCATCAATTTTTCAATTAATAAAAATTCAATTTTTTAATCACATTAAATGAGACTCACAAATTTCATCAAATTTTATCTAAATCTGATAAAACTTTTTATCAGAAGCTTCGTTAAAAAACCCCTAAATAAAAAATGTTAAGAACCAGAAAAAAAAAATAAAAAAATCGGCAAACAAAAACGTTTTACAATTGTTTATTTCTTAGCGTTGAACATTCAACACAAATTTGTGCAATCAATATTTTCCCCACTATGGGTCCCAGCTTCCTAGACTTTGCAGTTGCGATGAAAGCAACCTTTTCCGATGAAATTGACTCCGGAAAGTCAGACCGGTGGTTCATTTAAACCGGATGGCGAGCCGAGTCATCTGATACCAGATGAGTTTCATCGAGAGCCTTGGGCTCCAAACACTTGAAGGACGGCATTTTTACTGGCATTCCACCGGCCCTTGAGGTAGATCCTTCACCGTTCTCCGCTACCACCCTTGGCGATCTCATCGACAATGCTCTCGAGAAAAAAGATGATGCCCTGTTAAAACCCCTCGGTCCCCTTCTTGAACTGCCTTCTCGAGGTAATGTTATTGCACAACTTTTAGTCCTATTCAACATAGCGCGCTCCATAACCTCTTTCCTAACTTGCTCGGGTAATTTCAAAGTGAAGCGGTCAAGATTTTCCCCTGGTCGAACCAAGGACAAGGAGTGACCAGTTGAGTGTGATCTAAACTTACCTATTCCAAACATTTTGGGCCTTCGTACGGACCGGTTCTGGTAATGAAAACTTGAGTTCCGGTTCATCGTCTCCTCTTGCCGTTGGGGCTGATTTTCATCGCAGATTTCAACTTGTATAACAACTTGCTCATTTCTTGAACTGTTGGTCCTTTCTATGTTCTCGTTGTTCTCTTCATTCTCCGGTTCCTGTATGGGCCCATCGGTCGAAACCGGAACCAAATTAGCTCTACAAACCGGGCAAGTGACGTGAGACTCGAGCCAGGCATCGATGCACTGAGGATGGAATACATGATCGCACTTGGGTATCAAACGAATCGTTTCATCATCTTCAAATTCATTTAAACACACCGCACACTCCAAGGCTCCTTTCCCAATCTTATGATCCTTCACTTCAGAGTATGAGAAAGTAGGAAAGGTTTCTAAGACGGAAGCGTCGAGTCCACGCGCCGCGGCTGCACGGCGGGTTCGAATAGAGAGGGCTTGACGGACGCTGCCGGCAGCACCGGAATCGTCGGAGCAGTGACGAATGTAGATGGAGAAGAAGCCCATGAAGAAAAGTGCTGCTATGAGAACTACTATGATAATCGCCATGGAAGGATTGAACTTTGCATATTGGTAACCGTTGTTGTCACCGGGTGGAGTCGACTGAGCCCCAACCAAGGAGATTTCGGAAAATAACAAGAGGACGAAAAGGGAAAGAAGAAGAACAACCCCATCTTGAAAAAATCTTTTCATTGGATCACAAAGATTTAGAACAAACTTTATATGTGAGGGTAGGCTGTGGGCGCCGTAGACGGCTGAGGAATGAAGGTGAACTGAGGGGTCTCCAACAGAGGGAAGAATATATATGAAGAAAGATATTGAGAGAGAGAGAAAAGGGAAAGGGAAATAGGGAGGAGGTTTCGTGATATTCAAGGGCAAGACAAAGACGATGAGGAAGTCTGACTTTTTTTAGGGTACTTTGGTTTTCAAATTTCAGAGGAACCTTCCTTAATCATTCACGCATTCATACACTTGATGACTTGTTCAAAAGTTGCTCACATATTTCTTTGAAGTGCATCTTTTCTATCGGAACAATTCTATTTAGTCACAATGACGTTATAATCTCAATTTAAATTGTGTTGAATGATAGATTGAATAAAATGTAAAATTAAATAATTTGTTTAATTTTATATATCATTTAATGTTACATTAACGTCATCAAAATTGAGATTATAACCTCAATAAAGCTACATAATATTATTGTTACTTTTGCGATGGTCATCAACATAGCCACCTATAGTTCATTTCCTTTTTGTTAAAAAAATCAAATTGTTTGTAATCAAATAATTCATTTTTGTTAATAATATCAAATAATTTGTAATCAAATACTTAATGAATAGTTTGTAATGCTATGTAACCTGGGTTACAATATCAGTTTAGGTGGAGCTAAATAATAGGCTAAATGAAAAGATAAAATTAAATGACTTATTTAATTTTATATATTATTTAATGTCACATTAATGCCACCTAAATTGAAATTATAATTCCCGTGGGGCTAAATAGTACTACTCTTAATTATAATGTGATGTTCTACCTCTATATTTCTTCTATCGTGTTTCGTTGGAGCTAGATTATAGGCTGAATGAAAAGATGAAATTAAATGACTTATTTAATTTTACATATTATTTAATATCACATTAATGCCACCTAAATTGAAATTATAATTCCTATGGGGGCTAAATGGCACTACTCTTAATTATAATGTGATGTTCTATCTCTATATTTCTTCTATCGTGTTTCGTTGGAATGGCTTCCTTATTTATCGCTTTTTACTATTTATTTTAATTTTTTTAATACACAATTTTGCTGCAATATTTTTATTAACATTGGATTTGACAACTCGGGACAACTAACATGAGAGTATCCAAATTACAAGGTGGAATCAACTTTTATTTTTAATTGGTATACAATATTAAATACAAAATTAAAAGTTGAATCACTAAAGGTTAGATAATAACAAGGTCAAAATCTAACTCAAGTGATAAGAGTAAAACCCTACTTGATCATTGGATTGTCTCCGAGCTTCCTCGAGGAAGATAAGAGTGAATATATATATATATATATGTCAAAAATTTTAAATAAATATTCTACTAAAGCATACAATTTTCTCTTTTTTCTAGTGTACAAGTACGAAGAATAGATGAATCATTTTTCATAAAGTTAATCTAAAGAGAGTCATCTTGACATCTTGTTTTGTAATGTCATTTTCATTTAGTGTTTTTTTTTTTGTTATTTTTAATTTTTTTATGTCCAATTAGAACGAAATGATATTGATAGCAATAAAAGTGAAAAAAAGGGCACCAATATTATCAATTATCACCATAAAAATAAAAAAATAAAATGATGAAAATCAATCATTTATATTTCTTTTAGCTACCAATCTTATTGGTCGCTGGATGCAAGTTTTTTTGTAGTGATTGATCGTAAAGCTTAATTTTTCATATAGTGAACTAGGAAAGATATATATATATATATATATATATATATATATATATATATATATATATAAATGGCATGCCCTAAAAATGTACATTCTAAACTTTTTATGAACCTTTTTTGGTGTAAGGTGTAAAGTTTAGGAACCAACTAAGTATTTTACCCATTTACTAAAATATATTACATATCACATACTTAACATCGAAATTGATAGTTTTAATAACACATGACCAAAGGGCTAGGTAGCAATGGCCAGTGCTAGCATCTGGCCACATCACATGGGCGGCTATCCCTTTAAAAACTCCTGTTACAAATTGACCGCTTACCATTTACATTACTTTTTTTAGTATTTTTTGATTTATATTGTTTTATTGACGGTCGTGTTATCTTGATTTTTCATGTAATTAATTGTCTCGTGGTCCCCCTCCTCCAACAACCACAAAAAGAAAGGGACTCTATAATTTCTCTTAATAATAAAAATCCCGTGGGCAAATAAAGATATATTTTTTTTTAATTTCCAACACTTTATAATGTTAATAATGACATTTGCGTTCATTTTTTTAATGACCTTTTATAATGAAAATGATAAGTGAATCTAGTAATCGCTACGTTCTAATTATGATAGGTGATTAGATACCGTACTTTCATGATTCGTTCTACTTCTTTTAGGTAAAACATTTTCGTGGATGGAGATATGATTGTTGAACAGTAATTGGATGATTGCTTGATGTCCATGATCTCCTCTTGTATCTCATAACATATGCATATGACATACCTTGCAAGTTAGAGATCTAATACAATAAATTTATCATCAAAGACCACTTTAATCGATTAGGTTATTACGAAAAATGGATACACAAGAGACGAATGCAATCTTCTAGGGCTCATCCATTCTCGTCTAATGAGACCAACAAATCAAACAATCATGGAATACTGTCGAGGGTACGAGGAGTGTTTGGTAAGCTCTTAAAAGTATAATCAATGTATCAATATAATAAAATTGAGATTTTATTAGTAATATTTTTTTAATTTCCAACACTTTATAATGTTAATAATGACATTTGCGTTCATTTTTTTAATGACCTTTTATAATGAAAATGATAAGTGAATCTAGTAATCGCTACGTTCTAATTATGATAGGTGATTAGATACCATACTTTCATGATTCGTTCTACTTCTTTTAGGTAAAACATTTTCCTGGATGGAGATATGATTGTTGAACAGTAATTGGATGATTGCTTGATGTCCATGATCTCCTCTTGTATCTCATAACATATGCATATGACATACCTTGCAAGTTAGAGATCTAATACAATAAATTTATCATCAAAGACCACTTTAATCGATTAGGTTATTACGAAAAATGGATACACAAGAGACGAATGCAATCTTCTAGGGCTCATCCATTCTCGTCTAATGAGACCAACAAATCAAACAATCATGGAATACCGTCGAGGGTACGAGGAGTGTTTGGTAAGCTCTTAAAAGTATAATCAATGTATCAATATAATAAAATTGAGATTTTATTAGTAATGTTTTCTCTTTATACTTGGTAAGCTTCTTTTGAGCTTCATTCATGTTTTTCAACTCATAGCCTCATAGTTTTCTATATTTTCTTTTTCTTTCCGTTCTTTTATGACATTGCAAATGGACATTCTTTTCTTGGGTTATTTTGGTTTCTTGTAAAATTAAATACAAAAGATACTTGATTAAGAACATTTTAAAGAGACTCTCTACTTTATAATTAGGTTATTACGAAAAATGGATACACAAGAGACGAATGCAATCTTCTAGGGCTCATCCATTCTCGTCTAATGAGACCAACAAATCAAACAATCATGGAATACCGTCGAGGGTACGAGGAGTGTTTGGTAAGCTCTTAAAAGTATAATCAATGTATCAATATAATAAAATTGAGATTTTATTAGTAATGTTTTCTCTTTATACTTGGTAAGCTTCTTTTGAGCTTCATTCATGTTTTTCAACTCATAGCCTCATAGTTTTCTATATTTTCTTTTTCTTTCCGTTCTTTTATGACATTGCAAATGGACATTCATTTCTTGGGTTATTTTGGTTTCTTGTAAAATTAAATACAAAAGATACTTGATTAAGAACATTTTAAAGAGACTCTCTACTTTATGCACGATAGATAATATCTTTATTTCTGAAAGTAGAATTTTTATACACTCTAACAATTATCTTTATTTTGACAATTCATTTCCATTTTTCAAGAAAAATTTATTTATTTTTTCTCATCTTTTATATATCAATGGTCAATCAATTCAAATATAATTTAATAATTTAAGAATGTAACTTAGTTTAATCATTATAGAGAAAGAATATTTGAGTCTTCAAATTTAGAGTGTTCAATTATTCTCTATTTAAAAAGTTAAAAAAAAAAAGAAAAAAAGAAAAAGAATCTATTAAAATTTATTTTTAAGCATATACTTTTTAAAATGTGACATATAGATGCACTATTGCTTAGTTACGAGACAATGAGGTCCACTTATAAAATATTAAAATATGGGGTCAACGAATATCATCAATTTAATTGCCGTTAAAAAATTATTTTTTCCTAGTTAGTAAATTTATGGCGATAAAATTTCCACATAAGCACTGACTAAAGTTTTTGTGGATGGATTATGCATCCCGTGCAACTCTTGACACGAAATGCATGTTTGATTAACCTTAAAACTTTTCTTATTCGTAAATTTAATTATAAGTTAATAAGTTGAATTTTCAAATAATATTTTAATGATAAATGGTGATAATAAGTAAATTGCCTATCTGTCTTGGGGGAGTATTTGAGTACCTTTCCTTGTAGTTGGAGAATGGAAAAATAAGGTGTAACAAAGATATAGATTAATATAAGATAGTGACATGAACAAGAAAAAAACGTAAATAATTAAATAAATGAAATTTACTTGGTCATAAATTTCTTAAACCCAATTATTTCTTTTTTCCTTTTTTCTTTACTGAAATTGTTTGAGTTATGTTTGATTGGACAAAAATAAATAATTAACGAAGAGCAACGTACTATAAAATTTTCTAGATATCTTATCCAGAATAATCTATTAAAAATACCACTAAAAGCTGTTTGTACTTCGATTATATAATAATGTGAAATCGTTCTATTTATTTGTCTTGACATGTCCTTGCGATGATAACATGTGAATATATTATAATCGTACATTATATTTTTCTTTGAAGAAGTCAATTCTCAGTCTTGCATTGAATAGATGTACATTTGATCCATTGAAAAGTATCAAGTAATATGAAAATAACTTTGTTATTATTTTGAAATTATATACTACATAGTTTTGAGATATAGTACGTATATAAAAGTTGGATATAACTAATAAATTACAATCATCATTATGCTAATTGTAGCTTCCCATGATACATAACAAAGATGTTAGTGGTTAAAGTTTAATCATATATATATATAACGATCAACGC